CTTGGAAGAGCCAGAGTATATATATTTTTTAATATAACTCCGATTGTGTTTGGCTGAAAGAAGAAAGTCATGTACACATAGGATGCCTTGAAGGCGAGTAAATTATGTCATAATTTTCATTTTTGGTTGAACTAACCCCTTAAGGTACTGTGTTGTTCATTTAGAAATTAGAGACCATAGGCAGTTAAGGTGTCTTAGTCAGGACAAACACTGAGAAATCATCTCATGTCATGATTAGACAATGTTTTTAGCATAGACCCAATTTAAGTTAACCAACATGTTCTCTGTAGACTGATCTGGTAGGCATCTATGCAAACAGCAAAACTGGCAAACAAACCAGCTTGACAAATTGCACTAACTTTTGTTACCTTTATTTAACCGAGACTGACTCCTACTATCCTTTTGGCCATCTGTTGGAAGGTTAAACGAACTTCTATATGGTTCTATGGGGTTAGGCAAACGGGGGAAGTGGACCATTACGTGCACTGGAAAGGGGCAAGAGAGCTGTGAAGGGCAGGGCCCCCATCTCTTTTGCCCAAGTCTGCCAAAGTGGGGGTTGGGTGTGCATTGGTGTAGAGTATACGACAGGCTTTAATAAAAGGCTAATGTGTGGAAGAGAATGGCAGGGGGAAGGGGGTGACATCTGTCCTTCTTTCAACTTTAGAGAGGAAAGTCAGTGGCTGGACTGTAGACTTGACCATAAAGTTCCAGTTTAATGACTTTAAGGGAGTTTGATGAATGGTGTTCCTTGAAACTCAGTCTCTGGATAGGCATCAATAATGTAAGATTTCTTGAGGTTAAGTTGGCTGGATCTTGAAAATGCTTTGAACAATTCTGTTGTAGATTTGACCAATCAAAGTCTGACCAGAACCCCACCCATTAACCCCCTCCCCAAAGCATCATCCTTGCACCCATCAGCCAGCAACATCCCACCACCCCCCAGCATTCCAACCTCTTCACCCCTCACAAATCTGGCTTACAAACAACAAGCAGGATTTTAAGTTCACAAAAATTAACTGTTCAAGAAAAGGCACGGTGGGTAGTGCACATGCCCTGCTATGCTGTGTGATGGTGTTTATGAGGGCAACTGCAGTTTCTAATCTGGCCATTTCACAATGAGTGTAAAAGTCACAATTTGGGCCTTGATTGACTTTTTATTCATCAATAAAGCACACACCCCAAACCACAAAAAACAACCAACTCGAATGACTACAAATCCAGATTGTACTGGTATGTGTTGTAATATTCAATCTATTATTTTCCATTGTACATTTGAATAGTTTGTTATTTTACCAAAACAAATTAATTATGATGAGACCAATCTTACTCTGCCAATAAACTTCTTTGTTCTTTGTTATACTTACCATTAGGAATATATTTTAAAATGCTTTCTAAATTGTATTCATTGTCAATTGACTCAGTTTCTTTGTCATTCTTTCAGTGTGTGGCAATAGAGGTGTGACATCTCTGATGGCGACGCACACTGACCATGACTTGAAAGTTATCTCTCCGAGAGGGGTGGCAGCAAAAAGACAAGACGGAAACCTCACCAGTCCACGGCTGCAAAAATCACCACACCACAATTCTGACGGAAAGGAACATGCAAGCCCCTCTAATCGCAGACCAAGAGAGAGCAATGGCAGCGCTGCAGTAAGCTTCAGCACTAATAATAACTCTGTAGTGTGTCTTCCTTTGGTATCTGAAGGACTGAAGCTAGTGTGGACCCAGTCCGATCAAACACGTGAGTTGGATAGTGTCCCTGAACTTGTTCAGGCCTTCAACACCTTCCCCTATCCAACATCTCAAGAGGTCAGCACTCTTGCCCGTGTCTGTGCTCTTCCCCTAGATAAAGTTAAAGTGTGGTTCATGGTGCAACGCATCAAGTATGGAATCAGCTGGGCATCGGAGGACATTGAAGAGACACGGCTTAAGCTGGCTAGGCCTGGGGAAACAAGTGAGACACACAAAGAGAGCACTATGAAGAGGAAAAAGGGAATTGAGGATTTTAAAGAAACCGAAGACCATGTAGAAGATCTAGCGCAAAGTCCACAAGTGCCTCGCAAAAGACATAAAATTGAAAGCACAGAACCAGCAAAGCTCTCTCCTGCTCCGTCACGTTTTCGTTCATCTCTCCCTCCTCCTCAGGATTCGTACTACTACCGACAACCAGTAGAAATGCCCGAAACACCTCAAGCAGCTACCCCACCTTCTTCTACAGAATCTCCTGTTGGATCTGAGCAGCCACGGCATGGCCGCTACAAAAAGTCCAAAGCCCAGTTAGCTGCATTGCGTAAGAGTTTCCTACAGGAGAACTGGCCTGATGAGACAGAGCTCCAGCGTTTACAAGAGGAGACGGGCCTAACTCGTAATGAGATTCGAAAATGGTTTAGTGACAGTCGCTACCAGCTGCGAAATGGTAGGGGATTGACAACGTCCTTCTCTGCTTCTCAAGGAGAAAAAAATGAACCTAACTGTAGTCTATTACTTCAGTCTCAGGAGGTTCAGCCTCTTCCCCTCACCACTAAAAAGCAAACTACAAAGCATGCTGACAACGAAGGCAAAGAACAGACCAGGCAAAGAACAGGATCGCGAAAGAATCGGCAGAGGAGCTCTCAATTTTTCCAGCTTTTCCTGTCTAACACTCTTGAGTCATTTGAAGATGGAGCATTAGGAGAAGATGAGGAGAAATGTTCAGAGGAAAGTGAGATTCAGAATAATGATGAAGTAGGAAGCGAACAGGAAAGTGAGGGACATTGTGTGACACCTCCGGAGCCAGCTGCACCCACTTCCTCTTCTTCTTCTCCATCCATCACCCCATCTAAAAAACACTCAGCCAGGTCGTCGAAATCTGCACGCTCTGTCAAAGCAAACACTTTGAACAACTCCCTAAACCCCTTGGACAACTCTTCACCTTCTTCAGTATTAACAGTGGCTGGACGACCAAGGAAAACAAAGGAGCAACTGGCCATCCTTAAGGAATACTTCCATAAATGCCCATGGCCAAAGAGTGACTTATACACACAGCTAGTGGAAATAACATCTTTGCCTCGTGCTGACATTATCCAGTGGTTTGGGGACACGCGTTATGCTGTAAAAAATGGCAATGTACGCTGGGTGCATGCTGACGTACGTGGACAAGTGCTTGCCGAGATAGCATTGTTACAAAGTGGAGGGGCTGCTGCCGATGCCAGTGGAACCCCAGGAAGTGAAGGCAACAGGAAACGTAAGTCACAAGGGAACAGCACAACAAAAACACAGAAGTCTGCAACGGATTCTGTAGACATCAGTCAGTTGGAGCTGTATTATCAACAGACGGGACCATTACAAGAGAAAGACCTTGACCATCTCTGCCGAAAGTCAAAAATGAGTTACCAACAGGTGCGAGACTGGTTTGCGTCTAAAGACAGTACAAAACTGGACACAGAGCTCACAGTTATTGATTAATATAAAGAAAACCGTTTGTGATCATGTCTGTTAATCTGCTGTGAGTCCTGTAATTAGGCAAGACCTGTTTGAAGGCACAGTATAAAATCACTTCATGCAATGCCCTCTTTTCCACTGTTGAAAAATAGCAATGTGAAGTATTTTCTTCAACAGTCACTACATCATTTGTTACCTATTCGACAGGCAGTATTGAAAATGCAGAACTGTAATGTATTTTTGGTCTTTACTGACTATTTGACTACTTTCACTGCGAAGTATTACCCTTATTATGCTATTATTGTTAGTAATCTTGTAGAGCCTTAATTGCTGCTGCTTAGAACTGACATCATGCTCAAACTGTTTATTTCCAGAAACTTTGGTTTGGTTATCTATTAGGTACTGTAGTTTAGATGTTTGGGCCAGAAATGTTAGCAATGCGAGTATGTTTGGTTTAATTCAGAGATCCATATGGCACTGTATATTGATTCCCTCTTAAACAATTTAAGCATTAGGTTTACAATATATTTTTCCCCTTCCAATGAGCTAACATTCCGCACTTAGAGGTTTATGGATACATTTCTCTAATCTCTCTACTTCATTGTGAATAAACTTTTCATTTGAATACATCCCTACTCCACTGCAGATTTGTTCAGTATCCAATGAAAAGACAACAAAAGCCATGGCTTTTGTAAAATCTTGTGCCTTATTGTCTGTAAATTTGTGTTTCAGGGTGGCAAAATAAAACATGACCAATTATGTTTAACTCACTGTTGCATTCTGTCCAATTATCCTCTTAACATGATCAAATAGGTCTCATCAAATGTGGTAATTACACGACATTTGAATTTGGCAAATGGGGTATGAAATGGCTTGAACGGCAAATTATTCACAATATTTGGAGTATAACTATATTTAGTATTAAACTAAGGTTTAAATTAGATCAGTATTTCACTTATCAACACAGACACATAAGTGTTGGTTATGTGTGCTAGAAGCTCAGATCTGTTGGTATGCGAGTGTATATTTGTAGAACCATGTCTTAGTTTTATTATCAAACTCTATCTATAAAAAGGGACCATAATACAGCTAGTATTTATAACTATACAGTAAATCAATAATGCTGGAAAGTTATTGAAGACATTCCTTTTTCTCGTTCCTTTCATATTGTAGCTTTTGTTTGACTTGCTTTCTGTTATAATACACTGGGGAAAAAATGCATTTCATTCATTTATTTCTGACATCCTTCTTGTAACTGAGCCAAGCTTGCAAAAATGTTGATGTGTTTTTGTGTTCAACAAATATGTTGAATGGAATTGCAATTCCATTTCTATTGGGAAAGTTACATTTTGTCTATATGTATCATTTAAATTCTAGCAATAACCTCGTTAAAAAAATGAGAAAAACTGAGGTGCCAAAGTAAATTAAAAACATTTATGACTCATATTGCTTTTATTTGTCACATTTAATTAAACTTAAAATAATTTTTCAAATAAAAGAAGGCCCATATAATTTTTTCTACTGAAATGATGCAAAGAATATCACCCATCTATTGGGTGATATAGGTGCTGCATTAGCTACAAATGATTATTGATTATGGCCGTGGAGACTGGAGTGTAGGTCTCGCCCGAAGCTGAAAGTTGTTTGGGGTTGTATGTTGGGACCTAAAAATTATGAGAAGGGAAGAGATGGACAGTGCAATTTCCTAGTGTGAAAACTTTCAATTTGGGGCATTAAAAATGTTTAGTCTTGGTAAATGCATAAAACGTTACCTTGTAGGAGTGTTAACTGAGCTGGGTGTCCCTTTAAGATAAGAAGAGAACATAAGCATACAAACAGTAGAGAGTAGAGTGTCCACATTGAATGACACCATGGATACTTTATGAACTCAAATAATGATATCTGACAGATATGATTAACAATGTCACTATTCCTCACTTACTGAAACCATGTTCATGTACTGAACTCATGCCTGACATAGAGATGGATGACCCTGGGGGTGTCTAGAATAAATAAGATGTAAAACAGTCACACAAGGATTGCTTATTTTTCTTATACTGATAACTGACTATATTAAACTAAATAAACTATATACTAGAATATAGTAGAGCAGCTAACTCACTGTCATGCCTAGTCTGGAATGTCTAAACCTCTCCAAAGTGTCACTCAAACTGCATGACAATCAGAATTGGATGGTATTATTTGAGGGAAGGCAATTCTACTGTTTAAAAAAAATTGAGATGATAGAACGCAACCTACCTGACAGCTCTAGAGCGAGGTGTGACTAGAAATGTAATGGGAAATGAAATGTGATAAGAACAAAATATAAAGAGCTTTATAGTGTTTATAAGAAGTGAGGTTTCTGTCTCAAATGAAACTTGCTACCTGGTGATGTGACAGCCACAGGAAGAATCATTCTTGGAGTTCCTCTATATATTGAGAGAAAATATTTTAAATGTTTATATTATATTATATTATATTATATTATGGCACACATCTATGCACATAGACAATTATCTGTATTTACCCATTAATCGGAAACCTCCCAGGAGATGTCTGTGTGGAGGGGAGAAAAATGATCACATCTGAAGAGAACGTAAGTTAGAAGGCAAGTGAGGGACATGCAATAAGAAACTCTCACCCTCCTCTGAGAAAGCGGCTTCTTTAGTTCTTCGTTCTCTAGTTTCAGCTCAGAGACTCGCCTTAAACAAAGCACAAGTAACTAAACAGTCCCATTTTAAGTGCCACTGAATATATCTCAGATCTAATTACCACCTGTCGCACTGATCACAAACTTCTTTCAGCTTTCGTTCCAGTTCCGCAGACCTGCTTCTTAAGAAAGCGATGACTCGCTCCATCTGCCTTTTCTGAAAATTAGCTATCTGAAACAAACACATCTCCTTAATTTATAACTGGCAGAATTGTGTTTGCTTAGAGTTTGATGTCACTGTGACATAATGATGATTTTGTGTACCAGAGTTCACAGCAAATGCTTGGGTTTTCTAGCCTTCCAAAAGCTTTCGATTATATATTAATTGGGACAAATTAAATGTATTTTGATAAGCAGAAAATGGCTGAGACCTGTCCAAAATGTTCCAGACGAGTCTGAATGAGTTTCACGGGATCTTTGAAAAACATCTTTTCCTGAGGCTTCATCTTCACAAAATGAAAGAATATGTAAGAAACACAGAGGTTGGAAGGAATGGGTAATAAATATTGTTTGTATAGGTAAGTTAAGTTAATATTTTCTCTAACTAATAATAATGCTTTTAACCATAGTGACAAATAATAATAAATATTAACACTTTGTAATGCATTAAAGGTTTTCATTTTTATTCTAAGCTATTTCAGACAACTCTATCTGCTTTCATCCTCTTTTTATTCAATTTGAAAAATTCTGCACTATACCACTATTTTATGCAGTTTTTCATTACTTAAGAGAGGTCGACAGGTTTAACAAAAAAAAAACGTATGTCACATGACTAGTTGTGTGCTGTATGAAAGAAACCAGTCGACATCAACTGAACTCAATAATTTAGCTGTGACTTGAAAACTTAATGTCACTCTCTACTATACACAAAACAGTGTATGGACAGAACTGTATTTAGCACTCAAAACAAGTCTGACCACCAGGCCGGGCCCAGCTCCAAAGTGAGCCATGGGACCCTCAGGGTGGGCTAGAACGTTGGGGGGTGGGCCAGACCCACCCAGGGCCCCCTGTGGAGAAACGTTAGAGCCAGCAGTGTGAATGTGCCTGAGATCATCTGGTTTCTCAGTGGACTCGACTCACCTGATCAGATATGTGTAGGTAGTTACAGTTGGCATGACAAACTCTGCACTGCCCTTCAGAAAAACATGAAACTTTAACAATTCACATTATCTTCGCAAATTACAAAAAGGTAACTTACAATTATCACAACATCCCGAAATGAACGTATTGAATGTATTCCGGACTCACTTGTGTTTACGCAGTTCTCACAAAATATATGGCCACAGCTAGACACAACGAATTTTTTCCCTTCTCTCACAAAACAGTTGTTACAGTGAAACCAGTTCATTTCACCACTCTAAAAATAGAAAAGAGAAAGACCACCTAGAAAAAAACCCCTAGCCACTAACGGATGACACAATTAACGGAAGATATGTAACGTTAAAGTTATACGTCATGTTACTAAAAAGGTTTAATTCTACTCATGGTGTCGCAAATTGCCTAATGCGTTACAAATAAATTTTCAAAGTTTAAACAAGTTTTACGAGTGATTTTTATCCGAATAATTCACCAGTATTTGGTAGAGTAACGGAAAAGATTTATCCCACTGGCGTCGAGTGAGCGTAAGCGTCACGTCACTAGATGGCGCCAAAGTAAAAAAATAAAATAAATTCAAGAAAACTATTGCGCCATCTCGTGGCCAGTTTAGAGAAGTTAGAAAACTTATTTTTAGTCTTTGAAATTCATAATCCCCCATGTTCTTCACAACTGCAGGAGAAGCAGTGTCACTTGTTTTTCAGCAGCAATTTCAGTTTTTGTAATGTTAAGTTTTTCTCTGTCCCAGTCATTCACACTAAAAACAGATGTTTGAGGGTAGCTATAAAATACACAATTTGTCCACAAGCCAATATTCACTATACAGAATAAAGAACAGCATCCACTTTATAATAGTTTATTTCACTCAAGAAACAGTTGAACAGGCACAGAGAGCTCCATCCTTAGGACGTCCAAAACAACTCCAGCGGCTTGGAGGAGCCCATCTTTGAAAACAATTAAACATGAAACAGATGTCACATAATGTAAATTAATAATAGTAATAATAATACCAGCAAAGATTGCAAACCTTGCCAAATCCATGAGGCACGACCCGGTCCTCAGTTTTCAACAACAAGAGGCCCAAGCACAGAAGTTAAAGTATAGGAATCTGTAGATCAAGTAGTCAGTATATGTCCATTAGTAAAAGTCATTGATAAATACTCTAAATGATTCTTCACTAACTCCTGAAATGGTGCCCAAATAATTATTTTTATGCAAGTATCATTTAATCATGGTTTGTATTTTAAGCAAAAACAGGCAACATTCACCTGCTGTTATTTCTCTTTTCTTTCTTCCTTGACAGTCAGTGTCACAGCAGCTGCAGAGAGAACTCTGGGATGGATCATCAGTCAACACCCACCTGCAAAAACAAAAAGAGCGTGCACGTTTCTTTTCTAGCCAACTGGCATCGGTTGTTTCATGAAGAAACTATCAATGCAACCTTGAAAAAGGGTTCTTTAGATTAAGCTCACATAAAAAGTGTTCTTTTAAGAACAGATCATTGGAAACTTCTTTGGGGAACCCAAAATTGTTGCATGGCTCCACTATTAAAACCGCTCTTTAGGAACCTTTATTTTGAAGAGTATTCAGGATTACATTTTTTAATTATTATACCGTGAGCTTTTCCGGTCATATTGACAAGCTTTATTGCTACCATCCAGGTCTCTTGGGTCCCATGCCACAAGTCTGCAATGCAGGTAGACCTGAGGATGGTGCAAAAGAAAAATAAGACAACATAATCAGAGAGAGACAGACAGAGACAGACAGACAGACACACTTGCCTCTTCTCCGATGGCAAACTTAAAAGCTTGAAGACTCAGCCTGATCTCTGACAACTGGTTTCTTGGCAGAAACCTGGAGTTTGTCTTTTTGCTGTCTACCAGACACCTTAAAATAAAAACAAAAAGGTAATTACACCGTAATCAATTTTAAAAGGTTAAGACCAAGAACTGTGCTAATCATTCCACTGCTGTGGAACAGGAAAACATTTTATGGCTCCAGAAAGAGCACACCTCGTCTTCGTACAAACCCCTTATTGGTAATGAGTGGATAAATATGAGAATCTGGACCCAATTCTGGTGTTGTGGAGGCCACACATTCATCCAGGAGCAGTATTAATGGCTGATGGGTCGTCTGATCAAATGAAGCAGCAATTGGGATTGTTGAGCCTAGTGGGAATGTTGTGGTAGTGGCCACAGCACTAAAGTCATCTATAATTAGAAAATTCATTATAAGATAATTTTATATTCAAGAAGATAGTCAAGGATGTTTCATTACATACAATAAGTACATGCATACCCTTCATGAGAGTCATACGAAAGGACAGATCTCCCTGGCCATGTGTGTGAAACAGCAGAGGATCATACAGGGGCGGCGTCCAATCTTCTGGCCTGAGAAAAAGGCAGCCGTTTTTATCTATATTGACATAGGTCTTCAAGCATAAGACGGATTAAAATGGAGCACAATGTCACCTTTCATATTTACAGGCCACAGGGTAATAAATTGGTGCAGTTTTTGAGAATGTTGTAGAAGTGATCTCAGTCTCAAATACAAGCTCATTGATTGTCACCTATGAAGGGGAAGAGATTGAGAAGAGACTAATGAATAGATTTTAAGTATTTTCTATACATAATGTATTGCCATTTCAATACATTAAACAACTTTGTCATTCACACCACATATGAACAAGTGTTACTTTTCTCAGCACTGCAAATATACCCCAAATCAGTCATCTTTATTTGTGTCAGAGGTACTTTTTCCATGTACAGATGTCTCCAAAAAGTTTCGAGATTTGAATATGGCTCAGTAAATTACCTACAGGAAATACAACTTTGTTTCCCCAAGTTATTAGTTAACAACCCAGTGGTTCATACTTCCAAACACACAAGTAAATCAAATGGCAAATCAGATTACTTTACAATACAATTCTTTACTGAACTTACCATCCTCCTAATATCACATGCCCCAAATTCAGCATAGAACACTGCCTCAGACCCTTGAGGATTTACAGAAACCTGGGTTGGAGGGCAGCCACCCAGGCGGAGAAGGGATGGATCCACTTGAGAGTTTGCTTCAATCCATCGCACAGACATAGAGTTTTTGCCACATTCCACAGTAATTTCTGAAGGGAGGTGAATTTGGAGATGACTTTAGAATTGGTGTGTGGAAAATTCAGCAAAAGTGTGCAATACATGGTGTTAAAAAGCTCTATCTGCTACAAAGGTCATATTACCTGCTCGGGCCACTAAGAAAACAACTGGACTGAAAAAAACTAGTATCAAAAAGGAAGACATTTTGACAATATGCTGTGGCATGCTTCAAGCTAATTTATGCACTTTGATTGATAGCTAACCTAATTAAAGGATTCCCATCTGAAACGCATTGTTTGGATGAGCTTAATGAACATCAGCTGCTGATGCTCTGGCTTTGATCACGGTAAATGTGGCAAATATTAGTATACTAGTGTTCAAGGGATGGGTGCAAAATAAAATCTTTTCAAATGCATATAAACTGGAAGAACTTTGTATTGACTACATATCAAGTGTGTTAGTTTTATAGTGATGGCATTCATCTTGGTTGTGAATTTTACAAATGTCAGGTATAGGGTTTTTGCAACACACAAATTTAATTACAACCAACCCACTAGCATTTTCACATTTCTGGCATTGTTTTAAAACCAAAAATGTGGCAACTCTTTAACACTAGTCTTTGTGTCCAATTGTAATAGCTCCCTGACGGTATTGCAGCAGGTTGCAAAAACATAGGCTACTTTTTTTTTTACAAGCTCAGGCTCTGTGAAAATCCACTTAATGTGTTTTTTACACACATTTCACATCTGAGCAATTATTACTGTTCTATGTTTTCACAAATCACACATAAGTTTCTAAAGTCCCCCTGTGGTGAAAAGCACGCTTTTAATGTTTATATGTCTATGTGGTGTTTTTAATATGCTTTAAGACAAACCATTTGCAAATTCATGAGTCAGCACCATTGCTAGTATTTTCTCCTTAAAACTGCAGTGAACCAAAGACAGTCTCAAAATAGCATTTTGAAATAGCAGGTGTTTCTGACGTCACAAACTACCATGTAACCAAACATGTCAACATGTGATCGTCAACGAGTGGATCTCTGAGCTGGTGTGAGTGAGTGGAGGCAGGGCTAATTTGGATATTCATAGAAACATATACTAAATGAGACAAGGGTGTAGAGTTACATTCAAGCCATTTTTAGGCATGAATCATTTTTTTTTAAGGAAAAAACATTTAAATATGTAATTTTGGTGAAGGGATACAATTATTGACTATAGGGGGACTTTAACATGCATGACAACCTCATATGCTATAACCTGCTCCCTTAGCTGGGAGTAATCAATTTAATTATATGATCAAACGGAAATATTGAGGCAATTTATGAAGACAAAATTGATGCGACACCACTTTCCTTATCACTTTGGTCAAAGAGATCACAACAGAGACAAAGTTTCAAATAATAGACTTAAAAGGATGTTTCACAGTCTTTTAATGAACAAAACAAGTCATACAAATCTAATACTTCGTTGGCCACTCCTAATGACTCCTGACCATGAATCAAGCACCTACAGAAAAGATGGAAAACATCAGTTCACTGCACACAATAGTTATTTATTCAGTACAAGAATATCATGTAGAGAGTAAATACCACTGACCTGTCAATTAACCACTGCATCACCAGACAGCCACTCAACCTACCAATGAGAAAAAAAAGAAAAAAAAACACTGCAACATGACCAACAATCCAAAAAAAAAAAAAAACCCCACCAGCATAGGACAGTTGGACAACATTTCTAAGAACAGAATTACAAACCTTTCTCTGAGATATAGGATGGCACATCAGAGTAAAATCATGCTGAATCTTCAGTAATTGTCAAAGGTCCTAAAACAGACTTTAGTACCAGTCCTTGAGGGGCTGTAATCCCAACACATTGCATGTTAACTTAAACCCATGTTAAAGGGTTTGCAATTTTAACATTAGTTATTTGGCATTATGCTTTTGATTTACCGGAATCCGTTTCCCTCTTTCCACGAACTCCACATGTTGAATCGCAGCATTGACAAAGAGAACTTTGGAACGGGTCATCTAAAAGCTCCCATCTGTTAATGAAGGATTATAGGATATCTTCCCATAAATCATGTCAGTATATTGAAGGATTTTATCTACAAATCAAGAATACACTTACTCTCCTTTGGCTTTATTATAATTGCAGGCCTTCTTCACATCGTTGAGGTTGTCAGGGTCCCATGCAATTAATTTGCAATGGATATAGACCTGCAGGGTGGGGGAGAACAGACAGCAACAAATTCAGATGATTAATAACTTGCCGCATTCATATGAAGAGACTGCCTCACCTCTTGTTCCACGGCGAATTTGAATGCTTGAAGGTGAAGCAGGATTGAGGAGGAGTGAGATCTTGGTAAAAACGTAGATAAACTTTTCTTACCATCCACAAGACACCTATGATGGGTTCACCTTAAGTCAATTATAAAAATATGGCCACTAAATTGCAACAAATAAGGAAGATCTAACTTTATTTGATGTACTGACTAATGGATATTTCAAATAGTCACAAATATACACACCCTTTATTGGCGATAAGTGGGTACGTAAGACTATCCGGGGAGATTTCGAGAGTTGTAGAGGCTACACATTCCTCAAGAAGCAACACCAGGGGCTGATGGGCTTGCTGGTTAACACCAGCCCAAATAGGGACAAAAGATCCCAGCGGAAACACACTTGATTCTGCAGGGCCACTGAAATCATCTGGAGAGAAGATTATGATAGGAGAGTTATTGTTAGAACGAGAATCACAGACAATGAATCAAGATCTGCCTACATACGATTGAGAATTGCCATGTGAAAGGCCAGTTCTCCATGACCTTGTATGGCACCAGTAGAAGAGCTCTGGAAGGCAGGAGTCCAACCCTTCGGCCTGAGGACCAAATCAAAATTATTGTACATCATCGATGGGAATGATTTGGGATTGAGAGTCCTGGTGAAGACCTGTAGGCTACCCAGTTGTGATGTTACCTGTCATTCACACATCTGATTGTATAGGTGAAAGAAGGAGGGTTTGGCTTTGGCAAAGGCCTGTAGGTTAACTTGTTCTCATACACCAAGTACTTCCATGTAGCCTAATCGGAAGGAAGGAAGGAAGGGGGGGGGGGGGGGGAGTATTTATCATCACCATATTTTCAGGATTCTGTGATTACCAAAATCAGGAAGTGAACTTACCGTCCGTCTAAACTCACACTCACTAAGTGGATAGTGAAAGTCTGCCACTGCTCCTTCATTTGACACATTTAAGAACTGTGAAGGAAAGCAACTACCCAAGAAAAGACGAGCAGGATTTCCAGTCATCGATTGGTTGATTTTCCACTTAACGTGAACAGACTGTTCGCCACACGTAACTTGGATATCTATAGTAAAAGGAGAGACGAAGTACTTTATTGTACGCCTCAAAGTTGAAGAAAACTGAACAACTCTGATAGCCTATCCATGTTTAGAACCTGGTCTCAAAGCAGGTTATTAGCAAGTAGACCACCTTGGACCAGCAACAACAAAAAAATAGTTCAAAACATGATGGTTTGTCTACCAGCCAATGATCAACTACTCTGCTCTAAAGCACAACTACCCGCTAAAGCTAGATTCTTTTAGATGTTAGGTTACATGTTAAGAACGTATAATGCATAATACTTTTCTTGTGCCATAATAAACATTACCATTATTACTATTTTCAGACATCACAACTTTTGTGGCAACTGCAAAAACAAACAAACATTGCCATAGGTTATTCATGATCAGATGCAGACCGAGTGAGGTGCAAACCAAACGCTGTCTGTAAGCAGCTGAGTCCTACTACTTCGTCAGTTATCAGTAGCTAATTTACAACAGCTGACACCTGACAGGGGAGGAAATGAAAAAAACAAAAGCATTTACTCACTAATTGGAATGTATGCTACTCTATATTTGCATTGTAATTAGTTCTGTAGCAATCTACAATTTTGTATATAATTTTGGCAGGGTTTTATTGGGATTTATTTCGTAGGATCCAACAAGACGCCTATAAAAATAAAGGTGACTTGACTTGACTAAAAGCGGAACCATTGTATCATTGCTATAGTTGTAACAAACTACCCGGAGTTTATTTCGGATACACGGGAAGTCAGACTGTTTTTTGTTTCAGCGTTTTAGCCGGTTCATTTGCAATTACTATTGTTTAAAATATCAGATGATATCAGATTATCTTGTTCCTGTTCAACTTGTATGAGTTAAAATACAGCCCTAAATATGTTGATTAAAGTTAAGGTAAGCGATTTTTGTCCTCGCTTTTAGCTGTCGCTATGTAGCTGCTATGTGAGTTTCCATACTCTGTTTTTGGTTTATGATTTCCAGTGTTAATAACATGCTTAAACTGATTAAACTGTATTTGATTTGGGTTGAACTAAAGATTAACCGATTATCTATTTAAAATCCTGTCAAAAGGCAGATTTTTTTTAACTACAAGGGAAGTGATTCAGATGTGTAAAAAATTGTATCACAAAATCTATATAATTTTTTTTTAATCGTGTCTCTTAGACACTCACAGGCAAAGAAATAGAAATTGACATCGAACCTACGGACAAGGTATGAGTGTTAATGTCCTTAAAATGCGAATAATATTTGTGTATCTTTGGAAATATTTGGATATTTATTTTATCCGCTTTTTTTTTCAACAAGGTGGAAAGAATCAAAGAGAGGGTGGAAGAAAAGGAGGGGATCCCACCACAACAGCAAAGACTAATTTACAGTGGAAAACAAATGTAAAGTTCCCCATTAATATGAATCATTTTGAAGTTAAAATATCGATGAAAATAATCCATTCAAAAAATGTTCTTATCTATTTTTCTCTATTTCAGGAATGATGAGAAGACTGCTGCTGACTACAAGATTCAGGGAGGATCTGTTCTGCATTTAGTTTTGGCTCTCCGAGGAGGGGGAAACCTGCACTAGCCCTGCAATCTCCCTGTTTCTTTCCTCTAATCTATAATGGTGAACTTGTAAATAGTAGAAATCTGTTTTATTATGTACATAAACAGACTAGCCAGGTGGCTCTGGTGATTAAAGCCACAAGTGGACTTTTGGCTTTACATACATCACTCTCATGTTATTGTGATTCTGAACAGTTTACAACTTAAATGTAAGTTCATATTGACATTCGTTTCTGCCCTTTTTGTTCTGTGGTATATGACAGTATATATACAATTTAGCAGGTTAAAAACTGTTTACTCATGTTTTAAGATAGACACAGGTCCCTTATAAAGGATTCATTAATTAGTTAGCATTATCTCTTGCGATTTTAAATTTCTCATTCAGCTGTTAAACATGCATTAAGGCATGTTATTTCCTTAAAGAGATGCTCACGTTTACCATCATCTTCCTAAAACCTAATTTTTTGAATGCGGTGCATTATACCATATATATGTTTTATTGTATTGTTTGGATAAAAGAGGAATAAACAAATTGGACAAATGCATATTTGTGGTTTCACACACACACAATGAGGTTGTTTGAGAAATATGGATATAACATTCTAAATATGTGAGATGGTAAGTTCATGGTCAAGAAAAACAGTAAACAGAAAAAAAATGATAAGAGGCTTAATGATAACAAAGGCAATTGGAGCTCAAATGAATTAATTAGGGCATAAGAAGGATATCTGTAATTCAAGTTCTTAAACTTGTTGACAGGGTTATTTAGTGACCGTACACAAAGGAGCTTATCTAATGACAGTGTGCATTAGTTTGACTGTTCACTCTTGTGCAGTAATGACAGCACATCAAACCACACTTTGTTCTAGACAATTCAAACCAAGATAACACTTCATAAAACACCTGTTGTATCAAATCTGCCATGAGTGTTCAGTCCATAATAGAAAGGTTGACAGACAGCTGCCTATTCCTGTAGATTTCAAACTCAATGAGAGAGTCATGACAGATTCTGAACTCGTAGGTCGGTCACAAAGGGCTGATTGATGGTAGATAGTTCCAGCCCAGACTAGGAAAGGAGTCAATTTGTACTGTGTCCTGATGCACTGCATCCTGATGTGAGTAAGACACTCGAACCCGCATCTTAAGGCTGACCTGTAGGGGGGAAATAAAAGTACAGTCAAGCTTTTAATATATAGCACCGATAAGTTTAGTGAGAAACACAGTCGCACAAAACCAAAGCAGGATGGACTTGCCTTGTTAGGGTTGTTGAGTAAAACCGTCTGTGTGACTTGACCAAGGCCATGTGCTGGAATCACATTACCACTTGGAGCCTTCATCTGCAGCTGAACACTCTGAAAAAGGAGAATAATATTGTTTTAATGTGATAACAGCGTTTGACAGATTCTGACAAACGTATAATTTCTTTCTTTCAAATTTACAACCCCATTTCCAGAAAAATTGGCACATTTTAAAAAATGCAATTCAAATCTGTTCTTGAATTCTCTAACCTGTTTTCACTGACCAACTTAATTGTATTTTGTAAACATACATATATATATATATATTTGATGGCGGTGACACACTCCAAAAAAGCTGGGACAGAGGCATGTTTACCACTGTATCACATCACCTTTCCTTTTAATAACACTTTTTAATCATTTGGAGACAGATCTGAACTGCAGGCAGCCAATCAAGCACATCCCTTCTTCGGTGAAGAGTATCAATGTAGAAACCACTCTGTTGTTGTAGCATGTGCTGAATGAGGCCTAGCATTGTCTCTGTACAATCCCAATATACGCCTCGACGTCAATGATGCTTTCACACACATGCAAGTCACCCATACTGTTTGCATTGATGCCCCCCCATACCATAACGGATGTTTGCTTTTGCATCTGTGGCTGATGAAAGTCCGGATGGTCCCGACCCTTTCGTCTTTGGGACTGAAAACTCGATATCCATTTTTCCCAAAAACATGCTGAAACATGGACTCATCTGACCACAGCACACATTTCCACTGTCACTGTCTTTTAGACCATCTGAGATGAGCTCAAGTCCAGAGAACTCGGTAGCATCTCTGCATTGAACAGATGGATGCTCCTTTTATACCCAAACACGATACCCTCACCTATTACCAGTTCACCTGCTAATTGTGAGCTGTTACAAAACAGTTTAAAATGATATCCCACATTTTTTGGAGTGTGTTGCAACCATCAAAATACACATACAATTAATTTGGCCAGTGAAAACAAGGAATTTTTTCCTTTGTATTTTTGTCAGTTAAATAAAGGTTCAAGAGAATTAACAAATCACAGATTCTTGATTTTATTGCGTTTTACAAAATGTCCCAACTATTCTAGAATTGGGGTTGTGTTTATTGAGAAATATCATTTATTGCGGATGTAATGTGGAGAATCACATTTATCATTTCTTTGGTACAAAACGCATTCAATGACTCATTTGAAATTACATCATTTCAAAAGGTAACATAATACAAAACTGAATAAGGGCTCGTTCACACAGAATGCTTTTTTGCTTTGCCCCACGTCTTTGCAGAGCAGAATGGAGAAGCTTCTCACTGCAGAGCAAATGGGTGGAGCTTATGTTTAGCGTAATTCTATGATGTAATTTGGGCCTAATAGTCCGTGAGGCAAACCCCCAAATTTCAGAAATTTGTCTCATAAGAGGGCACCAATGCTACTCTTTTTTATTCAACAGAGGGATGTCCCTGGACCACAAAAATGCATGATAGCAATTCTTAGTGGGTAGCTTAAAGGATACTCCACTTTTTTTGGAAATAGGCTCATTTTACAACTCCCTCAGAGTTAAACTGTTGAGTTTTACCGTTTTTGAATCCATTCAGCCGATCTCCGGTTCTGACGGTACCACTTTTAGCATAGCTTAGCATACATCATTGAAGTGGACAAGACCATTAGCAGTTCTCAAACAAAAATCACCAAAGAGTTTCAACATTTTTCCTATTTAAAACTTGACTCTTCTGTAGTTACATCGTGCACTAAGACCGACGGAAAATGTAAAGTTGCGATTTTCTAGGCTGATATGGCTAGGAACTATACTCTCATTCCTGCGTAATAATCAAGAAACTTCACTGCCGTACCATGAGAGCAGCAGGCGTAATGATATGATGCAGCGCTTGAAAATATGCCACCTTCCGTCAACACAACGGAACTATTTTCAGGCGCTGCATCATATCATTACGCCTGCTGCTCTCATGGTACGGCAGTAAAGTTTCTTGATTATTACGCAGGAATGAGAGTATAGTTCCTAGCCATATCAGCCTAGAAAATCGCAACTTTACATTTTCCGTCGGTCTTAATGCACGATGTAACTACAGAAAAGTCAAGTTTTAAATAGGAAAAATATCGAAACTCTTTGGTGATTTTTGTTTGAGAACTGCTAATGGTCTTGTCCACTTCAATGATGTATGCTAAGCTATGCTAAAAGTGGTACCGCCAGAACCGGAGATCGGCTGAATGGATTCAAAAACGGTCAAACTCAACAGTTTAACTCTGGGGGAGTTGTAAAATGAGCCTATTTCCAAAAAAAGTGGAGTATCCCTTTAAGGTAAAAAAAATCACCAATTTTATGTTTGACCCCCCAAACATTTGGCAAATTCCATTTACGGTCGGTTATTTCTATAATTCATTATTTTTGGTACCAAAACATTACTTGGTGATATCTAGGTTGGAATTTTGTCGAAATTTTAACTTGTTTAAAAAATATTGTTATTGAGATTTTTTTTTTTGCAGAAAACATAGTGGTGTACAGCTTTAACTCATTGTTTTAAACTTAGGACCAGTCTGTAAATGCCTCCGTTTAACAGGTAAGAATGAATTTTGCAATGAGGGCGTGGCTATCGAACAAACGCTCTCTGGCTATTCAGCGACTCTCAAGCTCGTTTAGAGCGGGGACCGAGAGTCCCCACAGAACCTTTCTGAGGATGCTAGGCCTCATGGCCTCTGCTTCATAAGTACGTCCGCAGAGTATGCTACACATACTGCAGTACTGGCTAAAACCACAGGTTTCCCCCCAATCATGGCGCTAAAGCCATCTCTATATCAGGGTAAACCACGGCTGCACCAGAGCCCTGGTTGAAACCCAGTCTCTTGGAGTCAGGGGTGAGCTTGGACCAACACGGAGAGACGGTTTCATATCAACTGCCTAGAATTGCTGGTGGTTTTAAAACCTTTCTACCACGTTTGTCAGGTCACCATGTCCTGGTCCACATGGAAAACACAACAGTAGTGTCCTATATAAACTGCCAGGGGGGGGGGGGGGGGGGGGGGGGGGGCTCAGGTTGAGACGACTGTACGAACTGGCCAGAAGTCTCCTCTTATGGGCAGAAAACAACCTGCGCTCGCTGAGAGCAACGCATGTTCCACGGAAACTGAACCAGGAAGCAGATATGCTGTCCCGGGGCAATGTGTCCCCAGGGGAATGGACCCTCCATCCCCAAACAGTTCAAATTATCTGGAGTGTTTTCAGGAGGGCAGAGGTCAAATTCTTTGCCTCCAAAGACAACTCTCACTGCCAAATATTTTTCTCGAAAAGCAGGAATGCGCTGGCCCACGAATGGCCCAGCCTTCACCTGTATGCCTTTCCTCCAGTCTTGCTCCTCCCTCAGGTCATAAAGAGGATCAGGGAGGGCAGACACTCAGTCCTACTAGTGGCCCCTCTCTGGCGGACCCAACCTTGGTTCCCCGAGTTGATTCTGCTGCTCACAGCAGCCCCATGGCCAATACCCCTGAGGAAAGACCTAGGCGAACAGGAAGATTTGGCACCCCCCGTCCCAAACTATGGGCCCTCAATGTGTGGCCCCTCGACGGGAGCTAGTGGAGCTCCCAGCGAGTGTCCTGAGCACAATCAATGAGGCTAGAGCTCCGTCCACAAAGACGCCTCTATGCTCTTAAGTGGTCTGTGTTCTCTGGCTGGTGCTCAGCAAGAAACCAGGACCCAAACCCATGTGAAGTGTCACCAGGACCCAAACCTATGTGAGGTGTCACTGATACTTTTCTCCAAACTCATTCAACCCTGTTTAAAGCACAAGTGATCACTCTCTCTGCTCTTCCCACATCGGAAGATGAGCAGCAATTACACCTACTCTGCCCGGTACAGACGCTCCGCTCAGTACAAACAGTCAGAGCAGCTCTTTATGAGCTTCGGTGGTCGCACAG